CAACAAAGAGTTTCTTAGTCTACCTCATTCACACCAGGAGAATATTATCTTCGCAATACCTAATTGATTCCTTCAAGAGCAAAATCAAAATGTGATGCAGCTTGATATTATCACCCTTAGTGGTTATCTATGCAAGTATGAACAAAGAAAACAAGTGATAACAAATGAATCAATGACAACATTCTTCTTTTACTGGAACGATGCAGGAAAATATTTTGCTTCTAAAGAAACTTAAAAATTGAAGGATGCAACTGATGCTACACAATCTCTTCTATTAAGATACAAAAGGTAAAAACAAAATGTCAGATTAAGATTGACAATAATAAACTTATTTTTCTTAAATCAAATTGTCAAACAAGAATTAAAGCTACTTCAAGATAGTTGTCAATCAATTTTCCTCTAGATAACTTCATTACTGTTTTATGATTACCTTATTTGATGGCATTCATATGGCATAGTCGCTTGTGACTAGGAAAATATTATTTGAATGACAGGATTATGGTGTTTCTTATCTGTTTATTTTAATTTTGTTGTAAATCTTCCAGGTGCATATACTGCTTTTAAGATGATGTATACCTGAAACCTGATTATTTACCACACTTTGAGGTCAGTTTAGTAGCATGTGATTGTATTTTGAGTTTATTTTCAGTGTTGTCGGTTTGATTAGTGCACACTTAAAAATAGCTTTTGTACTCAAATAAATAGGAATTTTACTGGATAGGCATTGTCAATATTCCAATTTCAGTTCTTAAATATAATGTTCAACTAGAGGCACATACAAAATTCTTATTATTGAACTAAGTCCTAGCACAAAGATTACACTTCATGATTTATTCATCTCAGAGATGTAACAAACAACAGCTTTTCTGCACTGTCCTGTTTGCACCTTCGTTTGACCTTTCTTTCAATTTTTGTTCTTATCTTCACCCTTAGTTCCTTTTATAGTGTTTTTTCACCAACACTAGCCAAAACATCTTGCCCAATGTAAACAGGATGATGCAGGTGACCCGGAGAGCAGACATAAAGGAATGCTTGAGACAGAGAACTTGTAAGTATCACAAATTCTCTTTTTTTTTTAAAAATAATGGTAACTTACTATAACCTAAGTGTAGTTCCCCTTCAAAAGTATTACCACTTTCAACTTGTAGTTCAATTCTGTGCCTCACGAAATGTTAATCGAACCTCTTTGGGGCCTTTTTATATTTATGGGCCACTTAACTATAATCCAATTGCAGAGTTCAATTAACTTAACAATTGTTCAGTTAGTGAAATGAACGACTAACTGCTATGTTGCTCCATACTATTTTAGTTCAATTTTTGCAAGCATAATGAAATTGTTGAAGAGTATTAAGTTACAGATAGTTAAAGGTGGGGATCCACTGTTGTAGCTACTAAAAAATAGTGCTTATCAACTGGTGTGGAAATATGATTTAATTATTAAATTGTCTACTGAGGATAAGTTTGATATTAATTTTTAAGTGCCCAATCTCTGTGAATTTCTTCCTCATCTATTATGTGGCTTCACTGCAGTTACAACTACAATAAAAAGTGGAGAAGTCTTTGCCAATTTTTTAAGGTTTCTATCTTGGGCTACTGTATTACTTAAACTAGAATTGTATCAAATATGCATGCCGAGATGATTAATTTGCATGGCCCTTAAATATGGACAAACAATTGTGAACTAAATAATGTACATTGATGATGAGAATATTGAAAATATGTTAATCACCAAGTCTTGCTCATTTTTAAGTTGTCCATAATTATATTATCCCCCTTCCTTTAAATGACCTTCCAGATAAAACTTCTATTCTAGGATGATTAGCCATATTTGAAGAAGTTGACGAATCTGAGATAAATTGACTGCATACAAAACAGATTTATATCATACTTTTTAATGTCATGACTGCAATAGAAAAATTGATGGTCCACTCACTTGATAAAGGGTTAATGAGTTAAAAAAGTATGCAGTGACTATAAGTTGGGAAGGAATGTGTCATGTCAGGGATGCTAATCAGGAAGGTATGTGAAGTAACTTATGGTGCTAAAAGTGTCAATTTTTTCAACAAATTTTAATCTTCTTTGAGATTTTTTGGTGGAGCAGCAAGGGAAACGACAGTGTTTGTGTTTGATCTTTATAACTACATTAAAAGGGAACACATGGAAGTGAACTTTTAGCTCAATTACGCATAAGTCTAGGGAGGTGTTCTTTCCTATTATACTAAAGACAATCACTGAGAGCTTGTATGGTCATTTTTTTGGTAGCAAAATATGCGATCTGATTTACTGTTGTCGTTGTGTATAACAAATTGTTCGATATAATTATCTTTATTTTACTGATTGAAGCAAATAGTATAATACCCTTCGTGAGTAACATGAACTTTAATCTTCAAATTTGGTTTTATTTTCAAGCAAATTATAGACATTATAACTGCAGGAATATACTCTAGGATTACTTGTGAATTGAAAGAGGCGCGTTATTCATGATTAGTAAGATAGTGCCTCGATGGAAACAATAATTGGTGCAGGTCAGACTCTTACACAAAATAATCATTGTGTGAACAGGTGGTGTAGTTGCCTTCACAGGAGCAACTATCTCCACTGATGCGGATCTGCTTGCATGAATATTTTAGGCTGAATAGAATATCCTTAGTTGGAGAGTTGCTTGCCACCATGATATTTCCATGTCACTATTCTAGATAATTTAATTTTTATATATGTGGATAGTGTTGTTTTTTATCTGATTTTATGGCCTTTTTGGTGCTTTTTACTTTGGGTAGATTTTGACGTTTAAGGCTTCATTTAAGAGCTATTGTTTCGATTGTACCACGTATTTATTTCTAATGTAGAACATCTTATCTCTCATCATTAAGGGACAGTTGGAGAGGACTAACATAGCATAAGAAAATTGTACCAAAAGCAAGTTAAATTGTACTACTTTCTCTTTTTATATAACCATTCTATAGTGTACAGTGAAAGCCTTTAAATTTTTTGCTCTGTCTGGCCCATTTTTATTGGCAATAGTTGCTTTATATCCACGTGTAAGGACATATATCTTGGATTGAAACTAAACACTCATTTAGTTGAATTGAGATATTGAATTGTCACATTTGTGTACTTGGTGTTAGAATGAGCCTTATTTGAACTATCATACCATGATTCAATGGTATTGAAAAATTGAGGCTAAGTATGACGTTTTTATTAAATTTCTGTTAAAATCAGTTTGAGGTGTAATTTATCCTATCTGCAACTGCTTACTCTACCAATATGTTGGTATCTCATATTGAGAAGTACGAAATAAACTCTAATATTTATCTTAATGTGTTCTCTTTGTACATTGTTTCTATTCCTAGCCCAATTCACTATATTTTTATGAAATTCTTTGATTTCTACACGTTTATTTGCTTTTGGCTATCAATAACTCCTGATATATTGGTGCTACTTCTGGCCCGATTCACTATATCTCTAATTTTCTGTGGAATGGTGTGAATTGTGGCTTCAAGTGGATTTACTTATACATTTACATGCGTACATGTTGATATTTCTTTGGGGGAAGAAATCACAGTGGTCATTCTTTGTTTGACCAACAACTATGATTATCAGTTTCATCCGTATTGTGTGCTCTCAATTATTTAATCTATTCAGTATGTAACTTCCTGATTTAGTCTGCTGAGTTCAAGTTTTATGAATTTCACTCCTTTGTGATGCAAAGACATTTGGAATGCTTACCAGTTACTACTTTTGGATCCTTGCTCGCTTTAGCAATTGAACTGTTGAGTGAGGCAAGTGACCGAAAAAACAATCAACTTCTAGAACATAACAGATCAAATCATGGAAAAGGATTGATTTTAGATTCTCTGATTATCATTCCTTCAGTACAATTTCACATGCCTAAAGATGAAATTTGGCCTTGATAGACTTCAACAGAAACTTGTGTTGACTACTTCTGCTGTGTGCACTTTTCAATAATTTGCAGGAACAACAGGTACTAATGTTTGGGCGTGGAAAAGTAGATATGTACAAAGAATTTAAAAGTTGAAGAGTTAATGTTCTTCATGAAATGATATGCTGTAAATGCAGAATGTTTCTAATTACTTGCCATGTCTGCTCTTACTTGATCATCTCTTTCACTGATACATCGACATCACTTGAATAAATTGTTTCTTTGCAATTTATAGTTTATACAGCTAAATTTATTATTTATGGAGAAGGAACTTACAATGTTTATTTATTTTATTTTTTTATTTAGAAGTGGGAGTTTTGTTGGGACTAACACAACATCATATAGTGGTACAAATAGGAGTCTAAAGTGTACCTTGAACCCCTTTAAATTTTAGCTTAGTCTGACCTAATTTCATTCGATATAGCCACTTTATATCCACGTGGAAAGAAGTGCAAGTAGCTCGGGTATAGCTCTCCCTTTTCATCAAAACATATTCTCCATTCCTCTCTTTCAAACTTGAAACTGGTGAGTGTATTTGCCCCTTTTCTACTTCTATTTTCTCTCTTCAAAATTTATGTTTATTGTATAATCCTAACCTAAAATACCTACTTTTATCCTTCAACTCCTAATGGGTATTTGTTTCCAGTTGCTGGGTCTTATTTAGATTTTCTGATTTTTGAATGTACTATTGTTGGATTTACTTCTTGCATGTTTCTAAATTGGTTTGAACTACTCATGGATGCTTGGAAATTGGTGTTGCCCTTCTTTTTCTTCTCACTTCTCTCTTTTTTCTTTGGCAAGTTTACATTTTTGATAGTCACAAATTTATTGGGTATTTTTCTGTTAAATATTATATGAGGGTTTTGATAGGCTTATCAATAGGATTAGTAAACTGGTGGTGGTTAGTGTGTGAAAAAAGTGATTAGGTTTTGAAGTTTTGTCTCAAATCATGAATTCTGATTTCAGATTTTGAGTGTTTTCACCTTTCGTGATTGTTGACTTTTTGTACTACTTTGTAGTATTTTGGTTTCGAATTATGAAATTAAGAAAGAATATTTCACATGGTATAACTTAGATTCTTCATAATTGGATATAAATATTACATGAATAGCACAATTTTTTATGTGTCCTCTATGTTTATATTTAGTTTAAAGACACGTTTTTTTGTGAAAAAGTTTATATTAGTTGCTTGCATATCATTTTTATGGCTTATTACTCTTTCATGTTTCTTGAATTTTGTATATGTCAGGAGATTTGGGAATGTGAATGGCCATTCAAAATTCATTTATTTATTGGTAAACACTCTAATTTGAGCTTTTTCTATTTTGTTTCTATTTTTCATAATTTTAGAGGGTAGAGAATATTGATTTCTAAAATTGGAGAATATTGATTTTCTATCTGCCTACAGCTTTTGAAATTCACTTACCATTTTGATTTTTTCATAATTTTTTGGTTTTGTTTGTTTATTGTTGTGCAGTAGTTTTCCTTCTATATTTGTTGATTTTGATATATCTTTAAATCTTTGATCGTCTTAGTTATTTGGATAACAAACTTTGCTACTGTATGGAACATGTTTTTTATAAATATAGGAGCAGTCTTGAATGTCTTCGGACTAATTAAGGTAGGACTTGAAGGAAAATAGATCCTTGAGGGAAAATTTTGATTTTCAAAATAGAAAATCTAATGAAAAATCTTCTCATACCTATGGTGAAGGATCTTTTATTTCATCTTCTAAGCTAATAGATTGCTCGCTCAAATCAATTGCATGTTTTCGAGTAGTTTTGTACTTATGTCCTTCATATGTTCAGAGATAATTAATCTAGCAGCCTCGACCTCGGTAGAGAAATATTCAGGCTTAAAAGTGTCCTTGTTCCTTCTGAATTTTAAGCTGCCTCAAATGGAAGAAATTTTATTTTGAGAGTTCTATATTTGTTTTAGGATTTATAGTCTATCAAAATTGATAAATGATAATTTTACTTGGTGAACCAAGGAATGGTTTCTAAGGCATATTGAGCAAGCTAATGAAATCTAACGGAAGGGGGCAGTAATATATCATTTACGGGGAAATAAATTGCTCCAATAGAAGAGGTTAAGAAGGCAAAATGATTTGAAACTGTTAATTAGAGTTGAAAGACCATCAAAACATCTAAAATTTCTTTCCTCCGAAATACACCAAAAAAATACATTATGAAATCATGTGTGAGGTCTTCTTGATGGGGTTATCAACTCCTCCAATACTACAATTTCTCACTACTTCTTTGACACTCAGGGATAGAATCTAATTGGTGCAAGTAATTCAAATGAACATATTCCAAAGAGTTGTTGGCATTGGACAGTGCAGAAATAAACGATTCACTAATTTCAGGTTATTGAGACACATGAAACATTTGTTTATTGGCTGAAGTTTCCTCCTGTTTAGATTATCGAGGGTTAGGATAGCATTTATCACATATTTATATTATTAGTTGGTTCAATTATGTCTTACCCAAAATGTTGTTTAAGTAAATGTTTTGGCAATGCATTAGTCGATGGCAATGATGACATATTAGTTTATTCTTAACTAAAAGACCTCCAGAATGTAACTAGAGATAATAATGAGAGGCTTTTATTTTATTTTCAACTCCTTGTGAGTGACAAATAAAGTTGTTGATATACTGACAAATATCTGAAATATATATCCGAGTTTAAAGCTTTATTTAGTTATTCTCCTCTTTGTTTTCTGTCCATATTTGCATTGTCACATATTTTGCTGGTTAAAAAAAATGAAGATAAACCCACGTTTGATTGTATAAAGAATAACAAATAAGTTAACCTCAAATTCTCCAAGAATATTGTGGTTTAGACCTAGAGCTATTATTTTCTGTTCATATAGTGCTGATGAATTTAGGTGTGAAATTCCTGTAGTAAGCATTATCTTGAACCATGAAAATAGTGAGGCAAATTCTACTACCATATCATTATTGGCTAAGAGATGTATTCTACCTGTATGATATATGAGTTACCAACAATTACTGATTTCTCTAAGGCGCAAAGACTTGTAGTGCGCTGTCAATGTATATCATGTACATGGTGTATTCCTCAAACATGAAAGATATCTATTGGGGAAGGGGTGTACGAACACTACATAGAGAAAATGTGCAACATATTATGTGAATTATACTATTAACGGGGGAGTGTTTCATTTGTGATTAAATTCCTTTTGTCGTTCTCCTATTAGGCTATAATCATGTGTATTGCTTCTGAAAACACATGCCCTTTTTAATGTTGCTGAACTTCTATATCTACGACGATCTCTGTTGGGTACACTAAGATTGTGGATTTTTATGATTTGGCTAATCTCTTCTTTGTTCAACAGTCGACTACTTTGTTACTCTGTACCGAATGACATAAAAGTTATTTGCCTGTGATATTTTTGGGATTAGTTGTTTGTACTTTTTAATGTTGCTGAACTTCTATATCTACGACGATCTCTGTTGGGTACACTAAGATTGTGGATTTTTATGATTTGGCTAATCTCTTCTTTGTTCAACAGTCGACTACTTTGTTACTCTGTACCGAATGACATAAAAGTTATTTGCCTGTGATATTTTTGGGATTAGTTGTTTGTACTTTTTTCATTCGAGTTTACAGGTTTCAACATATCTCAACACTAGAATAAGTTTTGCCCCTCAAGTGTGGCTACACTTCTATGTATATGTGAGCATCCTCTCATTTTAAATCTAAATTAGATGTTACTGATCCATACATGAGTAGTTCTAGAATATGTAATGCATTTGTTCCATCTAATTTTTTTTCCTTTTTATTTATACTTTTTGAAAAGCAAACAATCCTTTTTACCCAAAAAATGAGCAGGGCCTCTCTTCAATTTGGGAGTCTTACTTGCACAAACAATTGTTAGTATTTCTTCTTTATGATTAATTTGGTTGTTGTCTATGATGATAATCTTTACATGTTTGGCTACATTCATTTACTCCTATTCCTAGAAATAGTCACATATGAAGTATAAGCTTCACAGGTTCTATTGTAGAGGAATTATAAAGCATGTAGAAAGCTTTATATTTGTTATAGCTACGTGTACAAACATTTTCTTTGTTGTTATATATGGATGTTGAACTGAATGTGTTGGAAAGTTTTCTGCATAACTTTCTTTTGTTGTGGCTTTGAATCAACTGAAATAATTTTTGCTTTATGAGATCAAATCTGAAATAAATGATTCTCAGGTAATTTTGCTTATTTTTTCTTTATTTCTAGATCAACAACTTCAATATAATTGGAATGAGATGACTTTCTAATATAATTTCTCATAAAGACAAGTTGTTTTTCCAATAAACATTGGTTACATTTCTTTATGTTATTTGTACCAGTAACCAGATCAGCCTCGTGAAAACCTTATATTCCCTGAGGAGGTTCTACCACGTGGAAAGGCTCTTTAATAGAACTTTAGCCTTAGCTTCTCATGACCAAGAAAGCACTGGATTCATGTGGCACAGTGTGCTTATATTTTGGTAATATTGTGTTTCGCTTGTACATTTTGATGTCGTCTGTAAATTGATATACCTCCATTATTGGTAGATCTCACTTCAATCAGTCTTTGCACAAGAAATACTTGGGTTATGCTCACATCTTGAAGCCAGATGAAGTGTGACGATGGCATATGAATTTGAGTCATTGATATAAATGTTGCATCATTGAGATTTGTTGCAATAGGCTTTGATATTTTTAACTTAGCTCTCTTAAGTCTTTTACACCCTTTCTACTGAAAGTTGTTCTCTATTTTTTCCGGCCAGAATTGTCATTACAAGAAGCAACTCCTAATAATGTCTACTTGGCTACATTATATAATTCATTGACACATGTAAATGTTTACCAATTTTTGTTATTGTCACTATTATTATTTTTTTTTAAGCTAAAGATTATGTGCGAGTCTGTTGGGCCCGTGCTAGCACGGGCCTCCCCACCCTAGTATATATATATACTGTCTTTTTCTTTTCTTGGATGTTATATCTAGTATATTATATATGTGTAATTGGGCAGTAACTGATGTATAGGAATTGGGTTTGGGTTGATGTTAGTCCGTCTGCCACTAGTTTCGTGACTAGTGGCTTCCATCTTTATTTATTAATATTTTGTTTTCACATTATAAACTATATTTAATATATTGAGATAGATAATTAAATATTAGGTGTATCGAATTATTTAAATTCCATTAAAGTTATGTTAATTGGAGGAATTAAGACTTACCCTTAGGTTTGAACTTTAGGAAATTAATTATAGAATTAGGTGAATTTTCGGGTCTAGGCTAGACATATAGTAATAGGGGTGTTTATAGACTCGTTAACTCACAAATTATGCATATATAATTGATGGTTTGAAAAGGTTCGGAAGCATTGAGGAAAGGAAAAACATTGGAGAAGTAGCTTGCTTGACTTCGATTCTTCGATGGAGGTAGGTTATGGTGTTGTTCTATATGATAGATAGACTCTTAATAGTGATTGATATTCATTGAGTGATAATGTGAAGTTTTCTATGTACTTGGTTGTTCTGGTTTGGATAATATATGTGTTGTTGTGATTGGTCTGTAATTCCAAGATCGCGAAGTCCATAATCTTAAACTTGTTGCATTAATGTGACGTCTTGAATAAAGAAGGTTTAATGAAATATTGTTAAGGAATTGGAAAGAGATGATAAAGAATAACAAATGAATTAATGGTATTATTGGATCATGTGTTACGTTCCGACACAGTATAGGATCGGGTGTCACGTTCCGACACAGTATTATTGGATCGGGTGTCACATTCCGATAATGTATGATAGGATCGGGTGTCACATTCCAACATGGTATTATAGGATCGGGTGTCACGTTCCGAAATGGATTTATTGGATCGGGTGTCACGTTATGACATGGTATTATGGATCGGGTGTCACGTTTCGACACGGTATTATTAGATGGGGTGTCACGTTCCAACACGGTTATATTAAAGAGGAAAACATATTGAATTAACTGAATGTACTCAATCTCAAAGAACCCATTTCCCAAATGAGCGTGGTGTGGAGGTGTGAGTCCTCGTGTGTGTGCTTGATATTGTGATTATCACGTACTTGCTTCAGTTGTCACTTGTTCATGTTGTTTGTTGTTCATCACCTGCTAAGTGCTATAGTTGATTTTATACTATTACTTTATGCATATTAGTTACTATTTTGAGTCGACTGATGATATATACTCAGTACAGGGTTCTTTGTTTTCCTTTTGTAGAGTGCAACGAGTGTACCAACAACTTCGACTTGCCCTCAGCTCTAGCCAGTCTCCAGCACCTCAGATTCCAAGGTGAGCTATTCTCATGTTGTATTCTCTCAGCCATGGCATGATGTCCTTAGGGGATGATTATTCTGATTCATATGGGAGTTTCTCAGGTGGCTACTTCTGGTGTTTCATTCCAGAAGGTGGTAGATGTTGCTAAGGAGTTTGAGATGATTCGACGTGAGGGATTTGAACATCGTGAGGGCAAGAGGACCCGTCATTCAGGTGATTATGGTGGTGCTCCGCCTAGGAGTCGAGGTTACTTAGGGAGAGGTTATCACTCTCAGTCTACTAGACCCATTTATACTGCTATACCAGCGTCTGAGGTTGGTTACGCTGGGCATAGTTCTTCGAGTTCGGTGCATACTTAACAGGGTTCATCTTCTAGACATGTAGGCCGTGGAGGACATTCTGTTCATTCAGGTTCCTCTCACCAGCCTACGTCTTGTAGGGGTTGTTTTGAGAGTGGTGATATGGGACACTTTGTGAGAGATTACCCTAGAACCAGACATGGTGGCTTGCATCAGGGTTCTCAGGCTTCGACTTTCAGGGCTGCACAACCTCCAACTATAGGAGGTGTACAAAGTGGCAGAGGTGGTTCTCATTCAGGTAGAGGTGGTTCTCCTTCTGGTCGAGGTGGTGCTCATGGAGGTTCACAATCTGAGGGCGGTCGTACTCACTGTTATGCTTTTCCGGGTAGGCCAGAGACTGAGGCTTCAGATGCTGTTATCACATGTATTATTCCAGTTTGTCATCGACCAACTATTGTATTATTTGATCCAGGCTCTACTTATTCTTATGTGTCCACATATTTTGCTTTGAGTCTGGATATATTATGTTTGATTTGCCGGTACATGTTTCTACTCCTGTTGGGGATTCTGTAGTGGTAGATCAGGTGTATGTATAGTTACCTTGATGGGATATGACACTTATGCTGATTTAAAGGACTTAGATATGGTAGATTTTGATGTGATTCTTGGTATGGATTGGTTATCTCCTTATCACGCAATTTTAAATTGTCATGCCAAGACAGTTACATTAGCTATATCTGGAATTCCTATAGTAGAATGGATAGGTTCTCTTAGTCATTACCCTAAAGGGGTGATATCATTTCTTAAGTCTCGTCACTTGGTAGAGAGAGGATTTTTGGCTTACTTGGCACACATTCGAGATACTAGTGTTGAGACTCCTATGCTTGAGTCTATTTCGGTGGTTAGTGAATTTTTGGTGGTATTTTCGATAGATTTACCAAGTCTTCCACCTAATCGTGATATTGATTTTTGTATTGACGTAGAGCCAGGCACTCAACCTATTTCCATTCCTCCTTATCGTATGGCACCGACTGAATTGAAATAGTTGAAGGAGAAGTTTCAGGATTTGTTGAGCAAGGGTTTTATAAGACTTTATTGACTACTGCTCTTATTTTGACCCTACCCGTTGAGGGAGAGGGTTTTGTTGTATATTGTGATGATTCTCGAATCGGTCTTGGTTGCGTATTGATGCAGAAGAGGAAGGTGATAGCTTATGCTTTGAGGCAGTTGAAGGTTCATGAGAGGAACTATCCTATTCATGATTTGGAGTTGGCGGCTGTTGTGTTTGCATTGAAAATTTGGAGGCATTATCTTTATGGTGTGCATTGTGAGGTGTTCACGGATCATCGTAGTCTCCAGTATATATTCAATCAGAGGGATCTCAATTTGAGGCAGCGGAGATGGTTGGAGTTGCTCAAAGATTACGACATGACTATTCTTAATCATCCGGGTAAGGCAAATGTGGTAGTACATGCATTGAGTCGAAAGGCGGTAAGTATGGGTAGTCTAGCCTTGTTATAGGATGGCGAGCGTCCTTTAGCTAGGGATGTCGAATCCTTGGCCAATAGCTTTGTGAGGCTTGATATTTCATAATCTGGTAAGGTGTTGGGTTATATGAAGGCTAGGTCATCCTTGTTGGAGGAGATTTGGGCTCAACAGTTTGATAATGGTGATTTATGTAAGATTAGAGACAAGGTGTCAAAAGGAGAAGCCAAGGATGCAACTCTTGATTGTGAGGGAGTTTTGAGGATAAAAGGTCGTATTTGTGTTCCTCGGACCAGTGAATTGACTAAATTGATCATGGAGGAGGCACATAGTCGAGGTACTTTATTCATCTTGGGGCTACTAAGATATATCGTGACTTGAAGCAGCATTATTGGTGGTGTCGTATGAAGAGAGACATAGTAGATTTTGTATCTCGGTGTTTGAATTGTCAGCAAGTGAAGTATGAACACCAAAAGCCAGGAGGTGTGACTCAGAGGATACCCATACCTAAGTGGAAGTGGGAGCGTATTTCTATGGACTTGTGGTAGGGTTTCCAAGTACCTTGGGTAAGTTTGATGCTATATGGGACATCGTGGATCGATTGACTAAGTCTGCACACTTTGTACCAGTTCTGACTACCTATAATTCAGAGAAGTTAGCCAAAATCTATATTCGAGAGATAGTTCGTTTGCATGGCGTTCCCCTTTCTATTATTTTCGATCGTGGCACACAATTTACATCTCATTTCTGGCGGTCTATACAGAAGGAGTGGGGCACTCGGGTGGATCTTAGTAGAGCCTTTCACCCTAAGACTGATGGTCAATCTGAACGGACTATTCAGGTTCTTGAGGACATGTTGCGGACGTGTGTGATCGACTTTGGCGGTCACTGGGATCAATTCTTGCCATTAGCGGAGTTTTCTTACAATAATAGTTATCATTCGAGCATTAAGATGGCACCATTTGAGGCTTTGTATGGTAGGAGATGTCGATCTCCAATTGGTTGGTTTGATTCATTTGAGGTTAGACCGTGGGGTACAGATTTGTTGAGGGAGTCCTTGGACAAGGTCAAGTTGATCCAAGATAGACTTCTCATGGCTCAGAGTAGGCAAAAGAGCTATGCAGATTGGAAGGTTCGTGATTTGGAGTTCATGGTTGGAGAAAGGGTTATATTGAAGGTTTCACCCCTGAAGGGTGTGATGAGATTTGGCTTAAAGGGCAAGTTGAGCCCAAGGTATATTGGTCCTTTCGAGATTGTGGAGCGTATTGGTGAGGTGGGATATCAGTAGTCTTTGCCACCTGGTTTGTCGGGTGTTCATCCCGTATTTCATATTTCGACGTTGAAAAAATATCATCAGGGTGGTGCTCATGTGATTCAATGGGATTCATGTGTTACTTGATCAGAATTTGACTTTTCAGGAGGACCCGATAACCATTTTGGATAGGATAATTTGAAAATTGAGGTTGAAAGAGATTGCTTCAGTAAAGGTTCAATGGAAGCATCGTCCGGTGGAGGAGGCTACATGGGAGACCGAGTCAGACAAGAGGAGTAAATATCCTCAGCTTTTTGAGCGTTTAGGTACATTTTATTCTTTTACCGTTCGAGGACGAACGTTTGTTTAAGTGGTAGATGATGTAGCGATCCGCTAGGTCGTTTTGAAAACTAGAACTATTTTGACTCTTCCCTTAAAATTTAAAACGGAAATTTTGAAATATTTGATAACTACGAATATTTAGTTGATGAATAATTATTAAATAATGAATATAGTTGAATAACTATGGGCCAAGTCCATGAATTATTTAATTATTTTTATCACTTGGCCCACATAATTAAAATAAGTTAGATGGGTTTATCATAAATTGAGTAAGTAAAGGAAATAAGGGCACACCAACTTACAGGCAAAGACGTGGGAGACTCGATCAGATTGCAGGTGAGTGATGAAAAAAATTTCTAAAGTGTTTCATGCTTTAATTGCTAAGTCTCAAAATAAAATACTATTATATTAGTTAATGTTGTTAAGGAATTTGGAAGTTAGCCAAACTTGGCAGTAGTGTAGCGTTAGTGTTGGTTTTTCTGGGTTTAGAGGGGGAGAAATATTTTGTTTCCTAGTGCTAAGTGTTGTCTGCTTAATGATTGCCATTAGTGATAGCTTTTTTTGTTGTTGTTGGATTTAGTATATGTATGCAGAGATATAGGGGCACATAGGAATTTGAAGGTTCTGCAAGTTTAGTTTTCGTAAATGGTTCAAATTGGCGTATGTTTCTTCTTATTATCACATTACAAATTTAGATTTTGATATGTTAAGATAGGTAATTAATTATTAGGTGTATATTATATGATTAGCATTGAATTTGAGATACTTGGAGAGTTTGAGGCTTAACACTAGGTTTTAGGAAATATAAGACGTGACATATTAATTGGCACCACAATTAGGAGCTTGAATTATAGCAATTTGAAGGTATGTTAAGACTTCCAGACTTCATTGAAGGATGTTTTTCTAATTAAAGATTAAAAATGAAATAGACTATGGGTAAGGGCGAAGGATGGGGGTCTCGTACCAATTGTGTGACGGGATTTGGTACGAGTACCAGTGTTATAAAGGGAAGGTTTATTACTATAGTAGGTGGATTGTAATCCGAGAATGCCAAAGCATATGGACATTAGCTGATGTATTATTGACTTGAATTATTTGTGTGATTGTGTTTCTTATTTAAACACGTATATTTGAAATATGTTGGGTTGGCTTACCTATTGGTTGGGAACATAGGTGCCATATGTCACGACCCAAAGCGAGTCATGAGTGGCACCCACACTTAACTTCCTAGGTGGGCGAACCAATGAATTCAACCCCAACTTATATTTATCATTCAACTTACGAAATACTAACCATAATGCGAAAGCTTAAATCTTATTAGTGTAAGAAACACAAATCCATTAAAGTCTATTATATGTCATTCCCAAAACCTGAAAGTCATCACATCGAGGACATCTAATCTTCAAATACTAAGTCTAAGAGTATTAAAGACACCAAAATAAATAAATAAAATAGTTTATGTCTGAAAACTAAGGACACCATGCCATGACCAAGAGAATCCAACACGAGCTTGAATGAATAGCTCACCCTGGAACCTGATATGTTGGAGACTGGCTAGAGCTAAGGGCAAGTCGAAGTCGTTGGTACACTCGCTGCACTCCACAAAAGAAAAACACAGAAAAATGCAAGTAGGGCTCAGTACAGGGAAATATGTACTGAGTAGATATCATCGGCCGACTCAAAATAGTAACTAATATGCATAAAGTAATAGTATAAAATCAACTATAGCACTTAGCAGGGGATAAACAATAAACAACATAAAGAAGTGACAGCTGAAGCAAGTACGTAATCAATCACAATATCAAGCACACACACGAGGACTCATGCCTCCACACCACGCTCGTTTGGTAAATGAGTTCTTTGAGATTGATTACATTCAGTTATTTCAATATGTTTTCCTCTTTAATGTTACAGTGTCGGAACGTGACACCCAATCCAATAGTACCATGTCGGAACGTGACACCCGATTCAATAATACCGTGTTAAAATGTGACACCCCGATCCAACAATATCGTGTCGGAACGTGACACCCCGATCCAATAATAATGTTAGTTTATCATTTATTATCACCACTTTTCACTGCATTAACAATATTCATCAAGCCTTCTTATTCAAGTTATCACTTTGATAGAGAAGGTTCAAGATTATAAATTTCACGGTCTCAGGATTTCAGACCAATCACAAACAACACATAGATTATCCAAACCACACCACCAAGTACATAGAGAAATTCACAATATCACTCAATGACTATCAATCACTATTAAGAGTCTATCTATCACATAGAATAAACCATAACCTACCTCCATAGAAGAACCGAAGCCAAGCAAGCTACTTCTTCAATACTTTTCCTTTCCTCAATGCCTCCGAACACTTCCAATCTTGCAATATGCGTTATTTGTAAGTTAACGAGTCTATAGACACTCATATTACTCTATGTATAGCCTAGACTCAAAAATCATCAAACACAAATCTATACTCAAGTTCCTAATCTTGAGGTCCATTAATATGCCAAGTTTTTTATTTCTTATATTCTAGCTTAAGGTTAAGTCTTTATTTCTCTGAATAACATAACTTTAATGGT